TCACAAGGGGGAACTGTTCTATAAAATATGCTACCGTACAAGTTTACATTTTTCTATTACCAATATATGGAGGAGAAATGGATATCAACAGATAGAGTAACATATTGAGATCTGAAGGATCAGAAGATATTTTCAATGAAAAACTGAGTCTATGAACAAAAACTCATACAAACATTTTAACTAATTATTGGGATTAGAAACATTTTTAAACAATAATACTCAAAGCCAAGGTAGAATACAAAAAAAATTCTGGGATATGCATAATTTTAATATTTTGCAAGAAATGTTCCTGCTTTTGAAAAACATGAATTTCCTCAAATTAAGAACGCTCACCAAGCGACAATGTGCATGTGGTATGTGGTATAGCAATTATGCCACAGCAAAGTGAATAGAAACACATGAAATTCAACTTTATTTTTAAAACAAGCTACTTAAAGCTAGTTTTAAAAAACAAAAGAAAAACAGATCTCAAGAATTACACTAATGCATGTTAATTATACTGGGTTTTGGTGCAAGTTCTAAACCTTATTCACCGAAAATACAGCACTTGTTCAGCTCTTAAATATAATTCCTTTTTGTCACAATGATGTTCCTATATTTTCCTCAGCTGCATCACCAGATATATTAAGAGATGCAGCTTGTGACAAAACCAGAGACCTTTTAAGAAGCATAGGGTTTCAATAGCAAGCAAAATTGAATTCTGCATAAGGTTGTCTCCAGGTTAGTGGACCAGAGATTATCATGACAGAACCATAAAGAAATCTTTATATTTTTGTTTCAACTGGTAGAACATTCAAATATGGAGGGGGGGGGCTCCTAACACAAGGATATATATTTGGGTCACATTCATGTGACACAAATAAATTAATTGAATGTATGAAGAACATTATCTGGCAGCATTATTGCCTCAGTTTGCCATTCCCTTTTCCAGGATTTTTTCTTCCAGGTCTAGAATTCCCAGGTAGATCCCCCACAAGATTGACTCCTGCTTATTTTCCAAGTTCAGCTAGGTATTGCCAGCTGTTGAGAAAGGTAAAGACATCCTCAAATTAAGCTCAACTGGGTGTGACTATATAGGTAATATAAGGAAATGGTTTCCCCAGGACTGTTTTTTTTATTTTCTAGATTAGCCTACAACCCTGGTTTCTTGATAATCTTCCATCCAAGTGCCAAGCAATTCCAACCTTACTTAGTTTTTCAAGATTGGTCATATAATTAAGGAATTTTGTGGCTGGGAATTGAAGTAATATTAAATTGTACATGAATTTTTATACAGAGATTTTCAACTGAAATGAAAAAACACCAGATGGAATAGGACAGTATACCAATAGCTTTCCTTTCTACCCAGCTTGATACACTCCACAGTTTGTTGTGGTCTTGTTCTACAACAAATAAAACATTAGAAGCAGTACTGAAATTATAACCAGGATAATGTAATGACTTAAGCTCATTGTCGAGACTCCTATAAATATGATCTGGTAACGTTTGGCATCAATTCTATTTTTTCATAGTAAGAGTCAGGTATGTTCTGCACAGTGAACAAAATGAAGACATAAAATGCAAAATCAAGTGAAAGAAAGAAGATTGACAAAGTCAAGTTTCCAATAAAAACCTCATCACCAATAGATAAGACATAACTGTGTCAGAGCTTCATTAATATCCTTGGTCCAGCGCCTGTGGAAAAAGCTAGGTTATTCATTGCCTTCCTGAAGACAAGTATGGTTGGGGCCATCCACATCTTCGGAGGAAACCTGTTTCATAAGGCAGGCACCATGAATATTTCCAATATTTACTACTGTGTTTCCCTGAAAGTAGGACAGGGTCTTATTTTCTTTTGACTCCCGAAATCAGCACTTGGCCTTATTTTCAGGGAGGTCTTATTATTTTTGAGGTGCAGGAGGCAACGAGCGTAGTCACCTCATGGCTGGTGCTGTGTTGCAATATTTTCAGGGAGGGCTCATTTTCAGGGGAGGGCTCATTTTAGCGCATGCCCCCAAAAGCCTGATAGGGCTTATTATCTGGGGAGGTCTTATTTTGAGGAAAACAGGGTAGGTGACATCCCTTTACCAAAGGGACTCAAAAGAATGTGTAATCATTGTGGATAGGTGAGTCAGCAAATAATCTGAATCTCTAATGTAGGGCTTTAAAGTGACAACCACAGTTTGAATTTCTCTGGTTGCTTTTATGGCTGTTTTCAAAGATGCATTTCTCATATACATTATACTGTATCATGCTACACTGTATTCTACAATTCTCATTTCAGAACCTATACCCATAAGGAGAAGTGTTGCAGTAAATGTGCAAAACACTGGTATCATGATGGGCATATACTGTACCAATCTATCTTCAAGTAATGTGCCCTCTTGTTTGGGACATTTCAAAACTCCTGAAGAGGATTCCTGCAGAATATAACTCAGGAACTCTCTATTTTTAATTCAAGTGATAGTGGGAAGAATGGTCTGGAGAACTAACATTTTCTGTTTCCCATGAACAGAATCAGTTCTGATGCACATTTTTACTCCATTTGTCATACTCCATTTTGGAGTATGACGCACCGGTGTATAAAATGCACCAAGGTTTTGAAGAGGCAAATTTTAAAAAAAGTAGGTAGGTAGATAGAGGGAGAGAGAGGGAGAGAAAGAGAGAGAAATACAGTATGTAGGGAGGGAGGGAGAGAGAGAGAGTAGTTAGGTAGGTAGATAAAAGGATAGAGATAGAGAGAAATAGAGAGAGAGAAATAGAGTAGTGAGGGAGGGAGAGAGTGTGTGTAGGTAGGTAGGTAAGTAGAGAGATAGAGAGAGAAATAGAAAGAGAGAGAGAGAGAAATACAGTAGGTAGGTAGTAGGGAGAGAGTGAGAGAGTAGGTAGGTTGGTAGGGAGAGGGAGAGGGAGGGAGGGAGAGAGAGAAATACAGTAGATAGGTAGGGAGAAAGAGAGAGAGTAAGTAAGTTGGTAGATAGAGGGATAGAGAGGGAAGAAGAGAGAGAGAGAAGGTAGGTACATAGGTAGATAAAGGGGGGAGAGACAGAAATAGGAAGGGGGAGAGAGAGAGAGAGAGAGAGAAGGTGGGTAGGTAGATATTTTCAGGTATATTTATCCATGTGCTGGAGAAGGAAATTGCTGACAATCTGCAGCACCTAAGACTTTGTTTCTGCTGGCACAGAACCTGATCAATCTAATTCTCATCAATCAGTTAAAGAGCTTTCCAAAAGGGGAAAAAAAGTTTTTGCACTCTGTAAACCTCCCAAAAATGGCCCGTTTTTCACAAAAACGGGCCCATTTTTAAAAAAAATGCATGAATAGCCTTGGGGGGGCTTGCAGAGTACTCCTGTGGGGGGGAATGAGCAAAAAACAAGCCATTTTTCATGCAAATTGGCCCATTTTTGTCAAAGAAATTGCACCTATAGTCTTATGGAGACTTATAGAGTGCTGCTGGAGCTCTCTGAAAACATACATAAGGGTATGCATGGCCATTTTGGTGAAGGGGCAGGACTTCGGGGGGCAAAAAATGCTGTATTTGGTGTATAAGAAGCACCCAGATTTTCAGCCTCTTTTTTGAGGAAAAAAGATGTGTCTTATACTCTGAAAAATACAGTAGATACTGAGTTTTTCTTACAGCAGAACTAAAAATGCTAAATAACTGTCTAGGCTGTACAAAATAACTTGGAAAACCTTCTTCACCATCATGACTTCTTATGGCCACACACTAAAACTGAAATTAATTTATCTAAAATAGCTAACTCCAGTTCTGTCTGTGAAAGTTCTTATTTCTAAACTTCTCAAACTCAGATTTGTACTACATTTTGACCCCTTGAGCTTTTAAATTGTAAACTCAAGTATCTTTAATTTGTCGTAACCCCCTTCCCAAAAGTTACGTCATTCCTTGTTCTTAAGAGGAACCAAGCATGAGAAACAAGTACTTGCCCAAAATTGCTCAAGAAGAGAATGACAGAGCAAGGTTCAAAATGAAGTCACCAAGACTGCCAACTACAGTTTATTCCCTTCTGTAACAAATGGGGCAATCACACTTTAGCGTGGTTGCATACAGAAATGAACATGAATTGGTTTTGACATAGCATTCAAGATTAACTTTGTTTGTCAGATATGAATTCAGCAATTCTTAGCCTAACTTGACCCAGTGTTGTTATGAGTTCACATCATTTTTTCAATATCTTTGTAGAAAAAGTGAGATAAAAAGAATAGATACGATTTCAGGATGGGTGTGGAAAAAGAAAACTAAATATTTAGCAATAGTGCTTGTTCTGTTGTGTATACCAATTACTGTGTATCTGTAAGAAAACTTGAATGTCAATACCAAGTATCTAATTTATAAAAACTAACAGTTTCAAACACATTTTGAAGCTGAAGAAATTCCTAAACCTGATAAAAAAGCTTCAAAAGGTATGTGATAAGTCACCTAACCATTGATTTGATAAACAAATGGCCAAATATATTTTTGTTTAATTAGGAAATTGTGAAATAATACCCTAGAATATTGCAGAATTTAATTAAACAGTATACATCAAAAGTTTGAAATTAAAAAATAAGACAGCATTTCAAATGTAGCATCCAGGAAGTATGTCAAGCTTTAAAAAACATGCACACTAGTAGAAATAATACCGCTAAGACCCATTTTGGAGTTCCTAGATGAGGAAGACAATACAGCTCAGGATCTCAAAAGTGTGGGAAAATCAAAAATAGCTTGTATAGCTCACAATCCCCTCCGCAAGTTGTCACCTGAATTGTAACAGAACAGAGCACTTATGAAATACATTGGTCAATGATCACTTTTGCTTAATTCAACAAAAAAAGGATGTGCTTGTACCGAATATTGTGATGGTTTTTTCAAATCTGCTCTAAACACAGTAAGAGCCTCTTCATCTTAAGTGTGCATCATCCCACATCTGCTCTAACACACAGTAAGAGCCACTTCATCCTAAATGTGCATCATCCCACATTCTCCCCTACTAACCACTTAGCTCCTGAATTTGCTTACTTACTAGCTGGTGAAGGTGTACTGTACCCACTGACTGGCAGCTGGTGTTGCATTCCAGGCAGAGTTCCTGGAGGTGAGAGGCCTCCAATCATGTGGGGAAAGAAGAAATAGTGAGGAACTGGGTAGCTGCTGAGATGTCCACTCCCTGGTGTAGAACAGGAGCTACTGTTGCTTGCCATGGCTGCACAATCCACAGGCCTGATCCTTGATTAAAAAAAAGATTCACATAAGGGCTGAATGCAGAGCACTTGATATAGAGGAGCAGTCCAGAATCGTCAAAACTTGATGCAAAATCAGTGTAATTTCCCCTTGTCTTGGGGTTCAGGCCAAGGTTAAGCAGAAGAAATATGTTCAGTCCTCCAGAAAATTCCCCAGGCAAGCAGAGTGGGTCCTCAAGATTTCAAAAATATTTCAGAAATCTTTGGGAATAGAACTTCTAAAAGAAGCATGTGGGAGAAGCTGCAAGGTCCTCGGCACAAGGTGGTGATAGAACTGTAGAAAGAGAAAGGCAAGAGTAAGCAAAGATGCAAGAGTCTACATTACAAAATCAGACTGTATTCGAATGATTAACAGTCATAAAGAAATGACTTTTTTTCCAAACAGGATTGTAGCCAGAACTTGTGTGTGTGTGTGTGTGTGTGTGTGTACACACACACCAACATACCAGCATACATACACACACACACATACACACACACACATATATATATGTATTGTGTCACAAATGGAACATACATACATGTATGTATATACGTGTGTGTGTGTGTGTGTGTGTGTGTGTGTGTGTGTGTGTGTGGTATTTGTGCTGATAATGGAAGCAGTTAGCTTCCTCCCATAATTGGGGCTTACCAGGGGTTGTGACTTTTAAGTATATATACACATACATACATACACACACACACACACACACACACACATCAACATTAACATAAATATTACAATGTTGGAAAACTTTTCTGTTTATATGAGACTTCAATTCACATTTTATCTTGTAATCAATATATATTTATTTGGCATTTACATATAAATAAATAAATATATTTCGTTTATTTTTATTTTTTTTATAAAGAGCATGCACCAATAGATAGATGGCTAATATATTCCACATTATTCCTGTTGGACAATTTAAGGAAGTAAAAGAGAAGTTTGTTTTCTGCTATTGTACAAAATAAAAAAATAAAATAAAATTCCATTATCCTGACAACGACTTACATTCCAGTATTGATTTTTTTGCCAGTATGCTAAAGTTTGGTCCTTTAAAAAAATTTTTAGGCCCTTGGTGCTTTTATTAGGTACACTTAATCCACACAGAATAAAGATAATTATTTAACAGGTATTGCTAAAAATATATGTGATATTAAAGAGAGTATAAATTAAAGTGGCGTAATATTTTTACTTACAGCCATAACAAAATATATTTAACCATACCAAATTATTTAGCAAAGAGAAAAGTTAAGAAAACTTTAAATTGAGCAAACTCCATCTTACCTATTATGATTCTTAATTTAATGCTGCTGGCAAACATAACTGCCAAAGCTATTACAGGAGCACAACTATCACATAGAGCTATTGGGAGAAGAAGAGACACATTCTGTGACTTTCTGACCTCAGTCAAGTAATTGGGATTAAAGTCAGGAAGGAGGATCTACCAGAATTTGAGGGGAAATTCAAATCATGGTCAACTCCTGCTGCCAAGTTATATTTGGTTCCTTCATTCCACTGCATATGAGTATAATTTCTTCTTTGGCTTTCTTGCCAGTCAGCCCTGCTATCAACACCATGCCTCGCCCCTATTCTCTCCACCATCCCCCACCCCCCACTTAATTACCACAAGAGACCATTTATCGCTCTCCCTTGACAGGAGGTGACAGGTAGCCCAGCCCCTCCAGACAAATGAGTTGGAGGTCGGAAGGTTTGGCTACCTGCTGCCCTTGCCTTACCATAAATCATGGGAGGGGGAACAGAATGGAACACAGGACACTAAAGGAAATGCTGATTAATGAAAAACAAAATAAAAGACCTCTCTGCTTTCCCCTTCCTGAAAGAAACAGATGAAGGAAAGTAATTCCAATAGAAGTCTGAATCGAAATTGGAAGTCTGAACTGAAATTAGGGAGGGGGGGGCTAGCCTTACCACCCTAACTGTAGTCTACCACTTCCATAAAAAAACTATGCTCTATTTCCTTTATCTCATGCCTAAGGGAGGAAATATAAAATTGTCTTTCTCACAAAAGCACAGCATACATTACTGGGAAGTTCTCTTCAGATCCAGCTGACATGGAGTTCTTGTGAGGCTCTTGTACATTTTACTAGAGTTTATAAGAAAAAGTGCCAGGGGACAAAGGCAACCCCTCAGATTGACTGTCCATCTACTTTGTTGTTTCACACCATCAAGTGCACTTCTATCCCCATTCATGTATTTATACAATATCCTAAATCATGCAGAGGTTTATTTGGTCTTATGTGAGGATGTTATGCAAATACAACCTATTATTGGCAATTCAATAAATTATCAGCAAAAATGATTTACAATCGTGTGCTAAATTAATCAAACTTTTGACTCCAAATCTCAGCTTAGTTACATATTGCTATTTCACACTACTGCACACGGATGACTTAAAATTTCTCAAAACTCTTCCATGCTTGGAGTTAATAATGGGATAGCTGAGAATTTGCTAACCTATTTTTTTTGGGGGGGGGGGAGGTTGACTATAAGTAGCCTGATGTGATAAGATGGTGACTTAGAGACTTCTAGTCCTCCCTTAAAACTGGCTGAGTGATCTGAGTGAGCCAGTTACTCTCTCTCTCAGCCCAACCTACCTCATAAGGCTCTTGCTACAGAGAAAATAAGAAGTGGGAGCATTATATACAAATAAAAGCAGGGTATAAATCTAATCAATAAATCAATAGTAAAATACAACTGGAATTTAAGAAAAAGAAATGTTTCAGAAATAAAGGCAGGGACTGTATCGCAAGACTCAGGTGGGATTCAGACCTGATTTCCCCCCCCCCCACTTCAAAACGAGAATAGTTAAAAACATTATGCAAAAAGAACTCCCAGGGGTAGATTAGATTACATTCCCAATTAAATAGAGATTGGGCATATTTCCAGATGGCTGGACAGCACACTGAAAACAGCAAGGACTGATTCTATTAGAGTCTTACCTTTCCCAGGGCCTAAAAAGTATATTTTGCCCTGGGAAGAAGGTTTGTTGCAAGGCAGATTTTGCCTCCTTTTGGCCAAGCAAAGTAAGTTGGCCAGCCTCTCTTCTGTCTGACACCAAGAAACAAACATTCAGCCAATTCAGAAAACAGGAAGCATGCCAGCTATAGCCAAGTAAGTGGAAAGATAACAGATTGGAGCCCGAGTCTAGAAGCCATCACTGAAGAAGCAAATCCCACCCCAAAATCATTGATCTCCCTATCACACCTGAAGCTACATTCTTCAGAGATGGCTTCTAACTTCCCAGCCTAAACTTCTGTTATTTCCTGCCTTTCTCTTTATCCAAGTACTAACCAGACGAGTCCTGCTTAGATTCTGATCCAAACATCTGCTGGGACAGATGCAATGCCACCAATTATTCATTCCATTTACATTTACGCTCTACATGGGGCAGCCTTTGAAGAGTATTCGGAGACTACAACTCGTCCAGAATGCAGCCGCGCGAGCGATTGTGGGTGAACCTCGGTACACCCACGTTACACCTATCCTCTGCGAGCTGCACTGGTTACCGATCGGTCTCCGGATACGCTTCAAAGTGCTAGTCGTAATTTATAAAGC